CTTATTACTTAGGTACCTACCTACTTTTAAAATATTACCCATATTTATATATCAAAGATAATATCAGACCATTATGGGTCCCATATTCTGTAAATAGTGTTTTCCGCAAAGACAAATAATTTCAAACATTTAATAACTGAATAATCTAAAGCTTATCAAATAATAGGAATGTTATGTCATGCCACCTGAGTATTTTCAAAGACGCCGGCCGCAGTAAAACGAATAAACAGGTGCAAAAAACGATCAAACCATTAAGGTTTTAGGTACTGAAATCTACGAAAATACTATCTTTTTTATATATAATTCCACATGTAAATATTCTTATAACATTTACTTGCTTAGTCCTACATATAAAATTGTTTACTTTTTATAAGTACGTGAAAATAATTGTTAAAATGTGGGGTTAGGATAATAGCAAACGCATGTTTTGCAAACGCTTTTTTTTAGTTATTATTTTATTTGGGTAAATTTAAACGGTAACCATGAATAAACAAAACATCAAGGATTTTATTTTTGTGCTTACCCCTACTTTTGTTCTACACGTTTTACTTTTAAAGATTTCAGTACCTAAAAACGCCAGAAATTTCACTATTTCTCGGCCAATACAATTTACAATAAACCAACTCTGTGTTTTCGCTTTCATTTTCAAGGGTAGCGACACCTGTGACAGAGTACACAAACTAATTTTATTTAGAAATTCTTGTAGAAGATAGAAACCGCTAAAATTCTGGTTTAAATATATAATATAATATAATATAACATGGAGTCGTGTGTAAAATGTTGTCATCTTACTTGAGGACACAAATTATAGAATTGTTAATAAATATTAATCTGAAAATTAAATACAAATGATCCTAAGTGTCCGTTCTAGTGAGTGAAGTAGTTTGGTTATTGTGCCTGACCTAGTTCCGTCGTAAATCCAATATATTGGCAGACTAACAGTATGGTTAAAATTGAGGTACTTTGGCATTTATTTAAATTATTCTTCTGTTCTCATGAGCATTGAAATTTATTTCACTCACTAGCGGGAACCATTGCGAATACATTGATATATAATAATATTCAATTATGTTAGTTTCTTCGATGATTTGTGTCCTCATCTGAAGCTCTGTTACATGGTAAAAATATACATACTAAATCGCCCCCTTAAATTGATTTGATTCGTTGAAATTAAGCAATATTACATTTTACATAATAGCATAGAAATAAATATATTTTTTTAATTACCTAATTAAAAATGAAAAAAATGGAGGTGAAAATGTGACTGTAAATTTGTATCCCCTTGAACGAAATATATCTTCTTTATTTATCTATTTTCGTAAAAAGCTATACATATTTTTTGATGTACTATCCGCCTTGAAAATAGAAAATCTGCATTTGTTCATATTTAAGAACAATCTGTTGGTGCTGCAATACTCGGAGAAGAGATTCAAGTCGGCTTGCAAATTTTAACACCATTGAGGGATGATATGGATTTGATAACTTCAAATTATTAGCATATAAGATAAAACGGAAGTGAGAAAAACAAGTAGTATTGATAAATAAAGAAAAGGGTAAAGGCCCCAAATGCGATCCCTGCGGTATACCTGGTGTAATTTTGTTGCAATTTGAAACCGAATTATTTCTTTTACACATTATGACCTACTTGATAAATATAATTTTACCCATCTTAGCAGATGGCCGATATATTCCATATCCCACATATTTCAATTTAACAAAGTAAGGCGATGAACTTTATCAAAAGCTTTAGAAAAATCAGTGTATACGGCATCTACTTCATATATCTATCTCATCCCTACTTTCCATTATAAATTGAACATGTCATACAAGATTAGTTATAATAGATCTACCTTGGAAAAAACCATGCCGTTTTTCTATTATGATATTTTTCAGGTTAAAATTGTTCGGTTACAATTGGTTCCGGTATCGAGAACAATGAAATTGGACGATAATTCCTTATATATGTTTTACTACCACCTTTATGAATTAGAGTAACTCTAGCTTCTTTCTAAATACATGGAAATACGCGTTCAGAAATTGACATATTAGATATCGGATAGAGAAGATGTAAAAGAGATTGTTTACAAAATTTGACAAAAATTTCTGATAATTGATCTGGTCCAGATTATTTACTAACTCTCAATTTTTTAAAGTTTTTCTATTTGAGAAATACCTTATAATTAATCGTTAAAGACATAGGAATTCTGAGATATTATAGCGTTAGATGGAGTCGACGATGATTCATAAACGCTAAAAAATAATCTGAAAACACATTAGCAATCTCTGTCGTTGCTAAAAATATTATTGCTGTATATTACAGAAGTAGGTACATATTGTTTTCTGTTTTTACTTATTTAATATACACAATTACATTACGCATATCAGTTTCAAAATCATATTTAACGTTTTATTTGATTATTCAGATGTGCAGTGAATGTAAATAGTTAAATTCGATATTTTAGAAGCTTATCAACGATCAGCTGATGCGACGCCGATGAGGGATAAAGAGAGACGCTCTAAGGGTTGGATGACTCACTCAGCTCCCAGGGTAATCCATCAATGTCAGACACCTTATTTCCAATATACCGTTCTATGATTTGCACTATGTATATTTCTCATCAATTCAATCAGCCCCAATTCTGATATTCTGTGCCAAAAAAACGAGAACTCTTTTAATTTACTAATGGCCTCACGATAAATTTATTTTGCAAAAGTCTCCATCCCAAAATGGCCACGTTCAAATGAAACCTCAGATAATTATATACCTATGAGTTTAGTCTCACAAAATGTTGGAAAATGTAAATATATTTTACAGAATAAAAGTTATATAACAAATTTATGAGATTTATAATCTTTCATTGGATATACAGAGATATTCACACATTATATAAATTTTGTCTTTTATTTTGTTTTGTAAGGGCCTGTGTAACTAATAGAAATTTGTGAAATTATTTTGTGTTCTTAACGCAATACATACAAAAGTACTTTAATATTGCTTAGTCATGTATCAGTTAGGTAAGAATAAAAGAGAAGGTTTTAAAAGAACAACAAATATACAGGGAATTCCATAAAAATAAATAAATTTGATTTATATCAAGGAATCGCAACATTCAACAGCTTTTTCTTGTGTTTATTTGAGATCACGATAAAATTCCCTACCTAAAACTTCAGCCTCTACCTTGCCTATTTTAGACAACGTAAAAAAATGTACACTGCAACTACATCATTATCAAGTTGTTGAAATTAATATTGAATATGAAATATACAATCAGTTATAAGGCATAATATTCAAAGTATTTTAGGATTTATTGACTAGGCTTAAAATTTGGGTGGCCAAAACAAGACATAAGAAAAACATCTTATGGTTGTCTTGAAATCTAATTTTCTATATATTGCAGTAATTTGAAAAATATTACAATTTCTGAAATGCTTCCAAAGACGTTTGATGAAGAGTGATAAAACGTCAGCTAATTATTGATAATTAAAGAAAAAAAAATCCGCTGAATCCGAATACCTATATCTACGTTAACCAATTGTGGAGATATTGTAAGACACTATTACTACGAATTCAATAAATTCAATGCCACTATACTACTTAAAAAACGGTTATTTTTTTTTCTTGGCAATATTTTGAAGAAAAAATGTTCCATTCCATTCCATTTAGAATGCGAACCAGTTTCGAGCTTGTTGAAAATTGAAAATTCTGTAAAAATCATATAAATATTTTGGATATTATAGTCTCGAAAAAAAAAAAAAACAAAACTTCTAGGCCTCAAAAAAAAACCTGCAGACTTTTTTGTGAAACGAGTAGTTTTAAAGTAATTTTAGGTTTAATGAACTGATTGGCTACAGTAATGTTAACTAGTAGTAATAGTCCTTTCTTTCCAATAGAATTTTTCTATTGCAGTGACGGTGTTGAACATAGGTTCCTAACTGATAATGACTTTAAATATGTCCGCCATTGGCACACGTATTTATATACGAATTTAACGAATTTGTACATATATGTAGATAAATCATTGCCCCAATTTTACTATTGTAAGCCAAACGTCTACATAGATATTAAAAATATGTGTATCTTTTAACAAACTCTATCACCTTGTATATTGAGAATGAAAAGTTTCCAGACATTCTTATATGGACATTCTTTTATTTGGATCAGCCGAATTCAAATTTTAGGTTTGGTCAATATTACAGTAAGCATTTCAGCAACCAAAATTAATTAACCTAATTAATTGAAATTGTATTCAGTACCTATTTGCAATAACACCAATAAATCAGAATTCTACTATTTTGACAAATATAAATTACACGTTTTGCGTGCGTGTGATCGGGTTATTATAGAGTAGTTACTATTGTAAATCAATAGTGATGCATGAGTATACACTTTGGGTTGTAACTTACCTTTTGGTTAGAGTAATTGTTAATATCGTGAGAATGAATGAGACATTTTTACCTCAAGGGGGGCATATTCAAACTACGTAAAGCTAAAGTCGTATATTTGTCGAATCAAAATTCTAAAGAGTACCAATGTGTCACTATAACTGTACAGTATGAATCAATACATTTATTTAATTGCAAATATTTACATATAACAACATCCCTACATAGAGTACTTCTAATTTTACATAGGTACATTTACATTCATATTGATTAGTTCGATTGGATTGTGCAACGTATTTATACAATATTATAATACACAGAGAAAGAAACCACTATGATTGTTGGATTGATTGACTTTTATTTTAATATAAATGCAACTGTTGGAAAAGTAAGGTAAATGTAACATTTTCGTATTGATGTATTGTTTTACTAGAACATATTTCAGATTGTCTATATGTATATTATTTATGTTACGTCAAGCATATTCCTACTATTAACATTTTCTGCGAGGAAAAATATAATTGTAAATATAAAATTAAATATCACTTTAAAACAAACGTTCAAACAACAAACAACCAAATCAAAATAAATCACATATCGACATAATATCTCAACAATATTAAAACATTAACAGCAAACTGTATTTTCCATTGCACTGAATCAAATTTGATAGTATTCTGGAGTATAATCATTCGCTAAATTACTTAAAAAGTTAAAGTCCGAGGAACTATTACTACTTTCACCTGGAGGAGCAACCTGCGACTGTGTCGAGTCACCAGAATAAAATTGATGAAAGTTATTGTAATTATCACTGTTTTCTGTTTGTACGCTGGTAGGGGGAGTCATGATACCCGCTGAATTATTATTTCCTCCTGGAAACATCTCCGCAGATATGTTGTATGTTGAATCACTGTTTGGTGGAATCTGATTGGAGCCGTAAGTATTGTTCTCGTAGTAACCAACTTTACTTTGATAATCTGTTGGGTTTTGTACTTTTGCCATTGCGTGAATATTCTCATTGGGATAATAATTTGATGCGGGATCATGGCTTATGGGCACTGAATTTGCCATGTGGCCACTCACTGACTCTGCACTATCGTGAGGATAGACATTTGATCCCGAATACGCGTAGTGGTTGTAACCTGGGTGTTCATTGTTGTAGCCATGAGCGTAATTATTCTGGTTTCCAATTGCATAGTTTTCGGTGCCTGTTTGATTTTTATTGTAGTAATACTGTTGCTGATTTGTGTAGCTATGGTGATAGTTTTGACGAGATCTTCCCGTTAACCTGCTAGACATTTCTCTGCTTGAGGCGTGTGCGAGATTATTAGGATGAGCTTGCACCCTGTGGTAAGGTTGACCGTCATTAACTGAAGGGTGTTCTGGGTTGTACATCTCTGGTGAGTACATGTGAGACATCGGATAGTGTTTCGATCGGCCGTCCGATCTGTAATCGATTTGAGTATTCATGTGATACTGGTTGGGAAAATGGGTGGACGATGAACCTCGCGACGCAAACGAGGGAACGGCGTTTGGAACGTTTTGAATTGTCACTGTCGCAGAGGCTATGGCTGTGGCTGTGGTGGGCGAGGAACGTTGAAGTTGCGGATACATCATTCCGGCAGGCATTCCTGAAACAAGGAGTACTACTACAACCTACTTATTCAATTATGTTGTTCACTTAAGTCTGATTATTATTTTACGTTATCAGAGCTTTTCGCAATAGCTATATGTATGTGTATTTTGTAAATATCTTTTCTATAAATATGAAAATTTACAATTAATATTTTGGATATACCAAAACACCTTTTAATGTGTACTGAATTATTAAAACGTTTTAGTAGGAATACATAGGTATAACGTTTCCCATACAAATTATAATCATTAACTTTACATTTTAATTTTTGCAGATATATTACTATAAAAGTTACGGCCTCTTGAGAGCTTCGAAAATTAGTTTTTAGGAAAAACAGGTACCTGAAAATTATTTATTTCCTAGGATACTAGTCAAAAGAACCACTTCGTTTATAAAACTATTTTTGATCTAAAATTGTTTATTACGATCGTTTCGGGTTTTAACCCATCTTTAGATAAGAGCATCAAAGCGTGAATTATTATAAAATTTCTTTTACAATTGTTAATGGGAAGGATATGTAGAATGATAATATCAAAAAAGTAACTGGAAAGAAGTAACGAATCGAATTTGAAACGTTGAAGTCAAAAATCTTGCGGGCGACGATGCGCATGAGCGGGCCCGACGCTTCTTCTCCCGTGTGCAGGCCGTTCATTAATGTTAACTTTTACTGCTGCTAGCGCGTTTATTACATGATCTATCATTGTAAAACTTTCTGAAAATAAAAGTTTAAACCTTTCTTTAATTGTCTCTAAAATCCCGGTCCGATACGTCCAATAGTTAATTAACAATTTTTTTTTAATTACCGGAAAAATAAGCTTTATTTAATGCAAAAAGAGTGAATCCCCGAGCGGCTTTTGCTTGACCCTGGGACAATTTGTTTATAACGCTGTTTCGCACGTTCTCCTTTGTTAGTTGTAAAGGGCTACTTAAATTCAACTTTTTGAAATTTTTCTTTTTCGATGCGTTTCTTTGGATCAATTAGAACCTATATCTACGATATTAACTTCCAAAATTAACGCTTCGTAATTAAACAATTAGTCGCAAAATGAAGGAAATTAACTAACAAATTTTCGGTTAATCGAATCGGCCTTTGGCACACATGTTAGACTTTGTATTGACCGTATTTTCTATACATTTTATCAACTTCTATTGTTTTTTGTAATGATAATAATTCGCAATTTTCGAAAACTGATTTTTCCCGTATTGGATCTTTATTTACAGTTAACAAATTGGTGAAATATGACTTTAGATACCTTAAATTATAGGTAATATAATTGCCTTCAACAAAAAATAACTAATTTTCTGATAGATTTTTGTCTAGATTTTCGTGGGTAGTAGAAACAGTGGAAAAAACACGTAGGCAATTTTGACACTTATTTGCAATTTTCCAACTACTTAGCGTCATTTCTTTCGAGTTACTTTTTTGATATTATTATTCTACATACCCTTCTCCATCATAAAGAGCAATACAATATCTACTAATATTTTTTTTACGTTCAAACTCGAATTCGACTGAAGTACTTCTGCAGAAAAACGAAATGCACTGCTAGTAATGTTACTAGCATAGTTTAGTACGAAGTATAACTTGAACTAATCTCTGGTGTACTTTCTGACTAGAGTTAACTATTTGTGCTGCACTATCAAAAGATTCTTAATAAATATTCGGTAAGAAATATTGTTACTTGTTGAACATTTATTTGAAATATTTTTCCTTTCCAACTTGGCTCTGAGTAACGCAGCAACATACTGCACTAAGAGAAATAAAGTTGCAATCTTTTATAATTGATTATTATTATATTTTTCTCTTGGTTAGTCAAAATTTCAGAGTAATTTAATGAAATTTTTCTATACTTTGTACAAATTTATTTCAGTAGTGTTTCATTTAATTCCGAAAAGCTTCATCCAATTATATTTTAGTGATCTTTCATTTTAGTAAACTTTTTCGGAGAGATATTTCGGAATAATTAATTCATTTCCAGAAATCTTTAATTAAATTTCAGATACCTATAGTTAATTTGATTTTGTAAAACTTTAATTATACTTCACTAATAACTTTACATCCTTATTAATGAATTACTTATTGTCCTACAGTTATCAACTATAATGTATCAAGCCATAATAACGAAACAATTAAATTCATTTTCTCTGTTGAAATTGACCGAACTCTGAAATACAATCGTTGTTTACTGAAATACATGTAACTCTAAAATTTAATGTACCTACGCTTTCTGAAATGAAATGAACTTATCAGAAATACAAATATAGCTAGGAAAGATGTACAGTGCGTCATTCATATTCAAACAAAAAATTTTCGAAAGAAGTTTTCGAAAATCGTGGAAAACTAATAACAAATGATAATAATTAATACAAATAATATACTCAACTTTCATTTATCCAATAACTAAGACATATTATTTATAAATCGATCTCACCTAGTGGACTAGGATGAATAGTAGGTGTTCCTGGAATTGTAGAGCTTTTAGCAGAAATTTTAATAGGAACAGTTTCGTGTTGGTTAATTAAAATACTATCCTTGCCATGACTTGGACTGGGAGATACTTTACTCATAGCTATCTTCCTTTCACAAGTGTTGGGCGAGTTTCTCCGACTTTCGACTTTAACCACTGGTGTGTTAGGTGTCGAAGAGTTTTTCTTAGATATCCTAGGTGACGCATGCGATCCACTATCTTCGTTAGACCTAGAGTCTTCTTCATTCATCAATTTATCGAATGAACTAGAACTTCCTACACTACTAGCGCCGTTGCTGTTAGTATTAAAGTTAGTATTATTGTTTGTTGCACTTGGTGTGTTATTGTTGTTGCCTCTAGTTGAGGTTATGTCAGGCATTTCTTCGTGCGTCCCGCACAAACCGGCTGATGGCATCTCGCAGCCCTGACAACTTTTTTTCGACATTTCGTCGTCCAAAAACTTGTCTGACAATTTTGCACTCTTACCCCCTTCACTAGTTACTGAATCCTTGTCGTCCCCGTCTTCCCCCTGTTTACCCAATGTTTGTCTTTTATGCTTCATTCTTCTGTTTTGAAACCATACTTTAACCTGGAAAAATTAAGAATCTTTAATAATATCTCATTTTCATGTTTAAAATGTAATAAGATTGTAGTGTATAATGAGATTTTTTTTATAATACATGTGATAAAATTATTTATAGTTCTTTTCGAGTGCCTATGTATGCATATGGATAAGTTTTTATAATCATTAATATTTTCCATGCAATATTTTTTTATTAATAAATATAGTTTTGCAAGATTCAGTTAGTGTCATTCAAAAAATAAAGTGAATTTGGTGTTTCTGAGTTAGTTATAAATACTCTTGAATAATCTGATGTTTGACTTCATAATATTACACATGGAATATATATTAGCATAATAAAATAGTTAACAGTAAGTTTTCAACTAACATATTTTCTAATATCTTTAATACATAAAATTTATTTAATTTTCCGCATACTAAATCAACCTGTCCACTCCAGCTTACTGGGTTGTCCAATATAGTGTTTACAAAATTATTTGAGCTTATTTACTGTTTCGGTTCATTTTAACATTGCAGGTTACTTTCTCTGTGGTTTTTTCCTTTATTGGAATGGTTTTATCATCTGTGTACATAAATACCTCCCATAATATATGGTTTGATATCTAGTTTACATGCAATAAGAATAGCAAAGGCCCTATGACACTACCCTAAGGAATGCCAAGTTCCACATTATACAGGGTGCCGAAAATTAGTAGGTCAATCCGTTAACCATAGATAGCTGATATGAAAATAATGGGACTTTCATTATGCCACTTTTCATTTAGGAGCCCCATTTTTGAAATACAGGGTGTCAAAATGTAAATTTCAAAAACGAAATTTGTCGATAACTCCGGTGGAATTAGAGATATTTGTTTGAAATTTCGCTAATATTTTTTTCTTGTAGAGACACACTTTCAGTATACTTTTGGTAAAAAAAATCAAAGCACGAGCGGAGGTGAGGGGGTTAAAGTGCATTATGACCCCCCCAACTTTTTCATACGCACGCCTATGGTAAAAACATATATTTTCTTAGATAAAGCGGCTTTTATTCTAACTTTTCTTATTCTTGCAAGATTTTGATTTGGAGCCTGGGTTACCAGATATTGTAACTTATTTTAATAAAGTTTAAAATCCGTTTTGTACTATAAATTTTATTTAACATTTAACAACATGAAACAAACTGCATATATTTTATATTACAAACAGAAATTAAATTCGAAAAATTATATTAAATGTTCAACATGAGAACCACCTTCGCGGACGCACATCCTGCATCTCTTTATAAAGGAGAAACGAATATTATGAAAAATATGTGGTTTCACCCTAAATTGCTCGGCCCCTTCTAAAATTCTTAATCTTAAATGTTGTTCATCCACAATTGGAACCATGTAAACAAAATCTTTCATAAACCCCCAGAAACAGAAGTCTAAGGGATTAAGGTCTGGGGATCGAGGTGGCCATTTGACTGGCGCAAGACGTCCCCGGCCGATCCAGCGGTTAGGAAAGATTTGGTTTAAATGGTTCTGAACAATTCGGCCATAATGTGGCGGAGCCCCATCTAGTTGAAACCACATATTTTGCCGAACCGCTAAAGGCAAATCATCAAGTAAGTCTGCAAAAGAGGTTTGCAGAAAATGCAAAAATTCGTCGGCATTCAAACGGGGGGGTAAAAAAAACGGTCCCAAAAGAAAATTATCAATTATTCCTGCCCATACGTTTACTTTAAAACTTACTTGATGATGTGCCTCTACAATGAATTTCGGATTTTCAGCAGCCCATGTATGAGTATTATGAATATTCGTTACTCCGTTACGAGTAAACGTGGCCTCATCGGAAAATAAAATAAATTTACTAAAATTAATATTATCATTATTTTCTTGGCATATCCAATTACAGAAAGTGACTCTTGCTTCTGAATCTAAAGGTAGAAGTGCCTGCACTTTTTGTACATGATATGGGTACAGTAATTGCTGTTTGAAGACACGTCGCACATCATCTGACTTAATATTATTGTTGCCACCATTATTAATTTGATTAGCTAGTATCCTCGTACTTATACTCGGAGTTTCTTCGACAATTTGCAAGATTTGCTCCTCTTCGTTTGGACGTAATTTGAGTTGCCGTCCACATTGGCCCATCCTCCTATGCTTAAAGTTGCCAGATTCTCTCAGACGGTTGACTAAGCTTAAGAAAAATCTCCTTTTTGGATGGTGCCTGGTTGGAAATTTGTCCGCATAACGCCTAGCAGCTAAACTAGCATTAGAGTTACATTTTCCTAAAAGCAAGAGAAATTAAATTGTTTAGGTTCGAGATTACAATTAACACTTATTAAGAAAAAATCCTATTCCTTTTAATAAGTACTTACCCATTATTAAAATCATATCGGTCATTTCAGAAAATGATAGCAAACCTTCTCTGTTCGCCATTTCTTATTGAACACTTCAATTAAAAAATGTCTAAACAACGTTTTTTCTATTTAACTTATAAATTATTTTGACAACCAAATGTACCTAACTATCTGACTTTGTTTTCAAAGCCTACATAGAACTTATTACTTGAAACGTAAAATTAGACAATTAAAACATTTTTTAAGTACTGAAAGTCTATTGCAAATTTACCTTAAAAAATTAGTTGGAAATATTTAAGAATATTTTTCTTGTGGCATGCTTCATTGTTTAAACGAATTGTACCAGGCGATCATTTATAATGTCCCACCCCTTTAACTTTTTTATTTGATGTACTATAAAAAAATAAAAACAGGACCGTATAGGATATAAAAAATACTTTTTTATGTATACAAAAGAAATTTTTAAATTCGATAATATACGAGGGGGAACAAAAAGTAATATTTTTTTAAATAGGAACATCCTGTATGTAATGCATAGTTCGATTTTAATTAGGATTCTAAACAACTTTTGTCATATACACCATATCCCTAAATCTAATTTTTTTCTGAGATATTTGATTCTAAACATTAATTTATTACAAAGTTATACGTATTATACCACACTCATTATCAATACCGTTACCAAAACATTGATTTTTTCGTCTTATTTCTCTTGTAACAGCACAAGAACAATCATTACTTTTTATAAAATCAGAAAGTAATGTGTTTTCCTCTCGGAATATAGCCCAATAACATCGAATTAAAATTAATTTTGGATACACTAGTTACCAAATCCATACTATCCGTCCAAATAAGTTACAATATCTGGTAACCCAGGCTCCAATCAAAATCTTGCAAGAATAAGAAAAGTTAGAATAAAAGCCGCTTTATCTAAGAAAATATATGTTTTTACCATAGGCGTGCGTATGAAAAAGTTGGGGGGGTCATAATGCACTTTAACCCCCTCACCTCCACGCGTGCTTTGATTTTTTTTTTACCAAAAGTATACTGAAAGTGTGTCTCTACAAGAAAAAAATATTAGCGAAATTTCAAACAAATATCTTTAATTCCACTGGAGTTATCGACAAATTTCGTTTTTGAAATTTACATTTTGACACCGTGTATTTCAAAAATAGGGCTCCTAAATGAAAAGTGGCATTATGAAAGTCCCATTATTTTCATATCAGCTATCTATGGTTAACGGATTGACCTACTAATTTTCGGCACCCTGTATAATTCTGAGATACTATCTTCTATTTTTACAACTAACTGTCGGTATGTAATGTAAGGCATAATATATTTATTTATATTAATCAGTATGCCGGATTTAGTGTGTCAAAGAGCGCAAAAAGTAAAAAAACACCTATTACTGTTTATCCATCACCTGTATTACGTATTATGTATTCTTAGTTCAGTAGCAATCGTCTCCTTCTGAATTCACGCTTATTGTAAAATTCTTTTCAAATTGATGGATTACTGACTACAATTTTTTTAGAAGAAAACTACGTAGGTATATTTTGTTTTGAAATAAATGAAACAAATATTGATGAAATAAATAGCTCACATCAGGTCCCGATATTTGCTAAGTTTTTGGAACACTTTTATTTGCGAATATTTTTAGGCAAAAAAAAAATAAATTATTTGACAACAAAATTTTAAACGTTTAATTTAAAAATGAAAAACTAAAAAATTTTCAAAAATATAAAAATTTGTGATGAGTTGTTTTTTTCTCATTGAAACTTACTTCTAAATAGTTAAAAGTAGGCATTTAAATAATTATTTCACAACATTTTTAATTAATTTAATATTTTTTTCTATTCAGTGAAGCTATTTGAGTATTAAATTAAATAAAAAAAATGATGTTTATAAATTTTTGGATCAATTTAATTAGACGATATTTTTCTGCAACATTCAATTTTCTATTTGTAATTCGCCCTATATTTAATTTAAAATACGACAATAGATATTTTTCGATTTTTGAAATATAAACCAAGAAAAACTTGTGTTTATACACATATATTACTAAATAATTTTTAATATTTGCACAGACAAAATAGCTATCGCCACAGACCGCTCCTGGAATAGGCCAGCAGTTTTAAATTTCCGAATTGCCGGTAGAGTACACCACCAGCAGAATTTAAGAAAGAATCAAATACAGCGGCCCGCATACCTAAGCGTATCCTAGAAACATATAAACAAAACTTTGGTAATGTTGCCAGGCGTACTTACGGATTTCTTTTGTACACTTTTTTATCAATATCTGTTTTTTGCGTTACTGTATTTACTTCAATGTATGATGTAGGTATTGATAAAAATGTTTTTAAAGAATCAACGAATATCTATGTATGTATCATATGATATTCTGCAGTGGTGTTACAATTAAGTTATTTAATCATAATTTCGTTAATTAGCTACCTACTATTTTCATTTTTTGGTATTGAAATACTGCAGAAAATATATTTCCAAATAAACAAAATTCGTAATAATATTTTAAACAGCTTGTAATATAATTTTTTTAATATTTGATGATGACGATAAATTTATTTAATATACAAGGTGGGTTATTAGTACGTCGCGGAATGTAGGTACAGGTTTTTTTTTGTATTTTGACATCCACTTATAGGTTTAATAATTAAAGATA